TTCCATGGGTATGGAAGGAAGACAGTAGAGAAACATTTACAGTTCTATGAAAAAACCTTAGAAAAACAGTTTTTTGGTGTAAGAAATGATTGTTTTGCTAAAAATCATGCTTTCGTTAATTCTCTGAAACATCTTGTTCCATACATAATGAGGCATTTGGGGGACATAAAGAAATAAGGTAATCTTGGGATTTCCTAATTCAAGTTTACAAGTTGATCAAGTCTATACTCCTTAGTTCTTTCCATTATAAACTATATTTTCTAAAAAGTAAAATACTCAACATCTGCTCTACAGAAACTAAATCAAAACAAATATCAGAACAAAGCAAATACTCAAAGGATGAAAATTTACATGGTTATCACAGATTCTCTAGAGTATATCATTGTACATTGTTCTTCTTGAAATAAGCAACACAGCTAAAATTACTCCATGTATTTCTACAATTAAATGGGCAACTCTCAAAGTCTTTGTTATAATTTAAAATAAAAGGACTGCTGCTATATAACTATATTTCTGATTTGACAGCTACAATTATAATAATACAGACATCTATTTCCCACAAGCTCACATATCCATAACCTTTAGTGATTAATTGGAAATCTTCAGGAGCAATAGTACACAGACTAATTTCCTAAAACAATAAAATACAGAATTTCTCATTTAGAGCTAAATGAAACATGAACAGGTTTTTATTCATGCTGAAATCTTGATGCAGAATCACGATGCAGCTATTACAAAAGCTATTAAGCAAAACCCCAAATCAAAAGTACCAGAGGTATGTCTTCAAAAGGGAAAATGATGTTCTTGTTTAGGTACCTTCTAACACCTATGTTTTTTCAGTCTGATGTTATTAATTCTTTTTCTTTCCCTATTGTCTCTGTTCTCACAGAATTATAAGAAACAATCAATTGAAAAAAGTAAGAGGGTATGTAAGAAGGAAAATTACCCTTTACTGACATTCAGCTATTTCAAATAAATACAGTCTTCCTGTAGTTTTAGAACAGTATACTCTTTATTTCAGGATGTGTCAATAGATTTATAATTTTCCTTAGGACATTGATTATGGAAACTGTGGCTATCCTATTTGTTTTCTTGTGAAGAGCAAATTGCACAATTGTTAATCTCATATCCTCATGTTTCATGCCTTCACATTGTCTTGTGGAGTTCAATTATGTAGAAGATCATGTTCCAGTTCATATTTTAAAAAGCTTGTAATAAACAAATAAAAGCCAGGCTATTCAGAATTAAATGGCAAGAGGCAATGATAACAGCAGAGTTAGAGTAAGAATTTACAAGGAATTTGCACCAAAAATAATCCGTTTAGAAATAATAAGATAGGTAAATATATTAACACCAACGGAAAAATTTTAATTTAATATTTCATATGTTTTTATATCTATCATATTTTTTCTGCTAGGAATTTAAAAATTATAAAAGTAGCAATCCTGTCACAATATAGCATTTTAAACCAAGCATATGCCTTTCAAAATTAAAAAGAAAAAAAATCTCCTTCTTAAAGATTTTTTTTTATGTAGATCAAAATGAAAATGTTTTTTTAGAAAACCCAACGTGTTTCAGGTAAAATGTTCACCTCAGTATAAATAAATTGAAGATTATTCATTTATATTTACAATTGTGTATTATAAAAATGAATGCTCCCATGAAGGGATTAAAAGAAAATATTCACACAGCTTGATTTCAGAGCTGAGATCTAAGTCATCGAATACATACTTAAAAGAATAGAAAATTCTAAATAATATTGAAAACCAGACTTATAGGCAACAGAACAAACATGTAAGACCACTGTACTAAGTGAAGGTCCACTTTTTAGATACATTGCCTGCACTGGGTTACAATACCTTTTTGTTTCTTTCTTTTTGCTCCTATTATCTGATATATATATATAATTTCTGTTATCTACTAATTACTTCAATTAAAGTATGGTCTTAAGGTGCACCCATTTTCCTTCAAATGATTCAAATTTATCATTTTTATGGCAGCAGAGTACTCTGTTGTTTATAAATACAGTGCCACATTTTATCCATTCATTTGTTGATAAACATGTAGCCTGTTTTCAAGATTTAGCTATTTTGAACTGTACTGCTATAATCAGGAGTATGTATACATCACTGTGATATGATATTGTAATTAAGTTTATAAAGTCTTATAAGATAAATGAGTCTAATGTTGGAAAAAAAAAGAGGGAGTGGATAGAGGAGGGAAAAGAAGGGAATTGAAACATGTCACGTACATGTACCAATCTCCTACAGTGAATGCAGTCATTATATACTGTAAACTAAAAATATAAAAAGAAATTCTAGGAAAATAAAGAAAATTCTAAGTCATATTTAATCATATGGAATATTAAGAATCCAGCATGATTTTGTGACTTGAGTATTTAAGAAAGTTTTAGAATTCCAAGTAAAAATATTTATTTTCTAGTCCACGCTTAATTGAAGAAAAAAGAGAGAATATGTCAGAGATATAGACTATCAGAGATGTAATCAAAATAGTATTGTCCAGAGTAGATATTCAGATCAGGTGATGTCTGACCTGAGGTCTGGTACCCAGTTTGTAAACAGAACTTTGGTCAGGCCCAAGTTTTTAAAAATCTCCTTTATTAGCTTCATCTTTATCTTTAGGCAGATTGACTGAGATTCAATTGCAAATAAATTACACTATGCACCTTAGAGTGTAAAAGAAAATCAGTTCAAACATTGGAGTCATGAAAGAAAAATCAAGGCACTTTGAATCAGTGCCAGCTCTTGCAGTATCTAGACATGTGATGGCATCCCTATTTCATATTCTACAAGCATGATCTGTAGTATGGGAGGGCTACACATAATTATCTTAAATCACTTATTGTCTAAAATTTAATTTTAGAAGTATTTGTCAGTAAGTTCATAAATAACAAGGTGCTTTAGAGTTAATCTAGGAATGTAACTAATAAAAATTTCCTAATCATTAAACTTTTCCTCAACCATATCCCCAACTCTGAAACGACTTGAGGACCTTGAGACTCATCATTTCAAAACAACTGTCCAGTGTATTAGTCTGTTCTCTTTAACACATCCTTTAAAGCCATCTATTTTCTGAGTTTCACTTTAATGTCCTTAAAAATCAGTTCAAATACAATATTTTATAGTTGAATCTATTGGAGATTTGCATAGACAGAAGAAATGTTTTCTTTTTGTGTATTCTATTAGTACTTTATTGTTCTTATTGTTTTTAATCACATTCCAACTCAGAGTATAGACATTTTATAATGATTATTTTTATTTCTCTAAATTATAAGCATTTGAAATCCGTGAGTTTTGTCTTCTCATACTATCAACATTCTGCCTTTGTGCTGTTGAAATGTTGTACATTATGGATGCTTTATAAAGTTGAAATTTTTGAGAATTCTATTCAAAAATTAATTTCAATCCTTCAAGGAGTGTCTTAGAAATGGTCACCAGCCACCCTGCTTACTTAGTTCACACGTTTGCCCTTAATGATATGTCTATTTTTTGCTAGTTGCTATAAATATACCACTAAGATTCTGAGTAATAAAACACAAAATAACTGTATTAGTTCATAGTCTAATGATCACTTTCATGGCACTATACAAAGATGAAAACATTCAACATGCTTTTACATGAAAACTCACAATCTACTTGCATAAATATAACTACTTGACTGATTTTCCTGTGTCTGATAATATCCTGTACCCACCTTGGCTTGGATACTTATACCTGCTAAGACCACCATTGGTTACCACATATTATTCTCCACTAAAATGTATTTATATTTATCTATACATTTATGTTGATCATTATAATCACAGGTACTTCCAAAAGAGATCTGAGGGGTCACACTAAGGCCAAGTGATAGAGACCACTATGAAGCAGACCTGAGCAGGACTTAAAATAATCAATTGGCTTTTCATGTTCACTTGTGAATCTGTTCAAGGCCGAGGCTCCTTATCTGGAAATGGTGGACACATACTAAGTGAACCTTTGTGAGTCACTAATCCGTACTAAAACCTGCAGTGGTGGATGAAGCCAGAAAGCCTCAAAGGATAAGACCAGATCACAGCCAAGGACACCTACATCAACCTCAACTAGATAAAGACTATAGCCTCAGGCATCTCACTCCTGGATGGATTAACTTAATACCTTGCTTGGAGAAGTCCTTGAATGGTTCCATCCTTCTTGAGTACTCCCCTCCATTCTTCTGATAACCAAATAAATATGGGAGACCCAGAGAAGGTCGTGGTCTTAGCCCTGAGAGAATCTTGAATTCTGTGAGAGAGCTTTGATCCTCCTGGAGCTCTGACATCATTCCATTTGCCTCTTTTTATTTAGCCTTTGCCCGCACTCATTCAGGAGATTGTGGATGTGATCAGACCGCAATAACTAGGGGACATTATTAACCCAATAGCTAAGATGGAATTATATGATAAAGGTGGAAAAAATATAAGTGGTATGATGGGGAAGACACTGCACTCCACAGTGTCTTCTTTCTGCTTCTTCTTTTCTTCCTTGCCAGCTACCTGTTCTACCTGTTTCTTTTGTCCCTGTCTTTAATGTCTGGAGTCTGCCAACGACTTCAATTAGCTAAGCAGATGGTTCTCTATGTAGAGCCCACCAAATCTAGGCTTGCAGCTTGCCTTTCCATGGTAAATTATATAGAAGTGTACAGTAACAAGCCTGGGGTGAAGTAAGGAGGGGATAGCCTTCAGCAGACAGAGAATGCAATGGCAAGCACTGTAAGAATTAGAATTTATTTCCACTGCAACAAAGTGATAGAAATATCTAAATGTTTCTGAAATGCGATTCTGACCAGTAATTGTTGTCTAGTTTCAGTGTGTGAGAGTCAGTACAGTTAATTGTCCTTTTAGAGTAGATGTTTATTATCAATCTATGTATATTATTCTTTCTTCCTTTCTTATCCTTCCTCTTTCCTGCTCCACAATGAAATAGCAAGAGTTACCTACTGTGAATACTAAAGACACTCACCTGTGTTAGAATTAAAATCTTCAGGGTCTGATTCAGTCCCATTTTGGCTTCCATTTCCCTGAAGAGTGTTCAGAGACATAAGCTTCATCTTCTGCAGCTTCATTGCCTCAGCCATTGCTGCAGCCGTTATACCTAAAACCAGAATCATCTTTATATGAAAACAGGGACCATGTTTTAATGTAATTGAAAGTTGGGATATTTATTTAGCAGAGATATGTTATACAGGGTAAGCCAAGAGTAAACCAAAGTCGAATTTAGGAATAGTTTTAACTATTTTCAATCTTATAATTCCTTTGTCTTACAATATACATTTTAAAAAACTGAACAAAACAAAACAAGACATTAAATATGAGTCTGATCCCTAACTCAAAATACTAGCAAAACAAAGGTAGTAAATTGAAAACTGCTTGGAAAATTTAAAGAATTGCTTTAATGTATTATTTTGTCTGGCAAGAATACTGGAGTACTGTGTTGTTTTAAATAGAACTCAGCGCTTTACATCTAAAACAACAGCGGGAGGGGCTGGGGATTTAGCTCAGCGGCAAAAGCGCCTGCCTGGCAAGCGCAAGGTCATGAGTTCGGTTCCCGGTACTGGAGAAAAACAAAAAATAAAAAATAAAAAAAAATAAAACAACAGCGGGAGAGAAAGGCAACTGAAATACTAGGAGTCCCTTTGTATTTTGCAACTTTGTTGCAACTTCTGCTATAGACTACCTTGCCTGGGAGAGTCAGAGAGGGGAGGGAGGGAGGCAATGAAATGCAACAGGTAATCTTAACCTTTTATGAGCCTCACACTCATAAAATAAATGAAAATAATGTGAAAACATCACATCTTTATAGCCAGCCTCATGGTATAATTACTTAAATTCATATTAATGTAAGGTACTTATTTTTAAAAATTGTTCCCATATGATAGGACAAAGTGGGAGAATAACCACACAGAAAAAGTGACTGTACAAATTTAAACTTCCTTTTCCTCCAGAGGGCAGTCTGTATCAGGCAGTAACTAAAATATACTTAAGCGACCAGGCACTGAAAGCAGCAGCTCAATCTCTACTCAAAGAACACCTTGAAAAACTCTAGTGAATTTAATTTAGTTATTTTTAAATAATATGCAAATCCCTAACCATCTACTAGTACAATTTTGTCATGGACCAAAAAGAAAAAAAATCTGACAGATTTTAAGAGTATTTCAAAATTTTAAAAAATCTATTCTCCAGTGCAAATACAATTTAAGGAAAATGAGGTGCATAATGTTCCGTTGTCCAAAAAGAAACACAACTCTCATTAGAAGACCTTTGTTCTAAGAGACAGAGTGAACCCTTACAAAGACATAAACAGAAGTAAATTCAGCCTAAATCATCTATGCATATTTGAGAAAATAGGTACATTTCTATTTTACCACTCTGTATTCTTTTCCATTCAAGAAAATCTTATAGTGAAGCAAATTTTTCACATTAGCTTGTTTCTTTTGTTTGCTTGTTTGTTTGTTTAGCTTGTTTCTAAATCATGGCAAACACAAGTATTGCAAAAAATCTCTTTATTCTCTGAACTGATGAAATACCTTTGAACATGTTTCAGATGGTATCAGAGATTTTATTGCCATGTGCAGTTTGACTTTACCGAATTTCCATTCTCCGTCAATAAGTCTAGGAAGAAAACATGACAGGCAAGGAACTTGCCTAAGAACTCCAGGGCTGAGTATATCATACAAAGCCTATATCCGTAAAACTTGCCGGAATTTGTGTTAGTTTCTTAGAATTGAATCCCAACAATGATGATTCTTTAAGTAATTGTTATTTCCATAGTTATATAAAAATCAATTTATGTAAATAATACATGGCTTCTTATTCTACACAAAATAAACTGTGGAATAATACTCTGCCATAAAGAACGATAACTTTGAGTCATATGTAGGAAAATAGATGCACATGGAGATCATAATATTATATGAAATTAGTCAGACCCACAGCTTAAAAATCACATGGGTATTTTTCTATAAGAAACCTAAAATATATATTAAAAGCAAAATTAATGTTAATAATGATAAATGGGGAGATAGATCTTTTGCAAAATGAAAGGGGACCAGGAGATGGAGGAAGACAGGAAGGAAGGGAGGAGAAAGGGGTTAAAAAATTAAAACGTGTTATGTACAGACAGCAGCTCCTCATAAGAAATATGATCGTTATTTGCTACAAATGTACTAAGAAAAATTTCTAAAATAAAAAAATGAAAAAAAAATCCTAAACTCTCTTATTGACAAAAAGTCCCATATAAAATGTGCATGTATCTAAAACAATGTAGTTAAGAGAATAAATGAATAAGAATCCTCATGTAGGTTTATTAATAAAAAAGATTGGACATTCCAACATTTATGCATTCTTTCAACTAAAAAAAGCATGATATTGAAGAAAAAGTCAGTGCACCAGTTCAGAAAGCAGTGTTAAAGTACTAAAGAGTCATATCATAATGTGCTACAGGAAAATTTCAGAACTATCCAGTTAATTTTATTTTCAGATAAGGAATCTTACTCTCAGGATGAGTAGTCATAGGTCAGTTGTTTAGTGCAAGATAGGCAACAAAAGTCCAATTTTTCTGATAGAGCTTAGACATAATTAAGTCTTAAACACAAGTTAAAGAAAATATCTAAAGATAGAATCTTATCACACAAGTCATAAGTTGTTACTTGTTTTGCTATAATTCTTATACCTGATTCCAAGTTTAGAGTCTTAGTCTATATATGCTATATTTTGCATTACCTCGTGATCTATATTGCAATGACTTTAAATTTATGAAACTCTTAAATCTTGTCTTCTCAGCCTTTAGTAAGTGCCTGTATATTGCTGTCTACAGATAAACCCATACTCAAGTATAGGAAAGCAATAGACTGTTATTAATTTGTAAAATTCAAAAAATTTAAGTACTTTATTCAAGTATATAGTTAAATTCTTACCTTCAATATGCTTCTCAGTGTACCATTGGTGAAGTCAAAACATAAAATTAGTACCTGACAACCAGTGCCCAAAAAGTAGCTATAAAGATAATTTATGAACAGGGTAATTATAAAGTTGAATTATTTAGTTAAAATTTATTTGGGAACCAGGATTTTACCTTGTAAAACACAACTAGAAAATGGTAAATCTGAAGAAAACAAAAAATATTCTTTGACAGTCAAAGTATTATAAGTACATATATATGCACATATTTGAAGTATAAAAATTGTGTTTTGATCACTGAATGTGAAAATAACTGTTTTACATTATGTTTGAAATATATATATTTAAGTGATAGAAGGGGATTAAAGGCAGAGATTCAATGTTACTGGGAAAACATATTTTAAACTTAGCGATATTTGACCAGGGGCACCACCAGGATCAGCCCCAGAGCAGTCCAGCAGCACCAGGGACACTGGCAGAAGTGGCCCAAACATGGCCAAAGGATGGCCCGACAGCACCAGGGGTGCAGGCAAAAATGGTCCAGAGTGACTCAGAACCACCATGGGCAACAGTAGTAGTGGCTCAGCAGCAGCAGGACACTGCTTCTTAAGAGGTCCCACAAAGCCAAAATATCATATCAATCTACCAAGGGGAAACTGATTGCATGCAAGTTCCTGGTATATGCTGTATTTTGCTATACAAATGTACAGCTTGCACCTATGTTTAAAGTTATCAAATTAAAAGTTATCACAATTGGTCAGTTGCTAGGCTATACTGGATGTTATTGTTATTGGTAACTGTACTACTTTAATCGGGATGCCAGACATGCTGTAATCAGTTTTTCTCCCTTGTATGACAACACTGTGATTGCCAGGGGTAATAACCATCACCATAGCCCAGTACAAAAGGACAGATTTCAGAAACAAATATATAGCAACCTCCCATTCTTAAAATATTGGAAAGTTAAGTTCTTGTGATAGACAAAAAGAGCAAGAACCACTTAAATCTAGAAGACATCTTATAACAGACATTTTCTAGGGAAGCCACTATACTAGTGATAAAGCTATTTATCATAAGAAATCTGCCAGGTGTGGTTGTGCATGCCTGTAATCCCAGCACTTGGGAGGCGGAGGCGGGAGAATCATCATGAGTTTGAGGCCAGCGAGGACTACAAACTGTACTCAAGGCCAGCCTGAACTGCATATCAAGACCCTGTCTCAAAAAGACAA